TAAGGTCAGCGCGTCTGGCGAAACGACACGTGGGTGGAAGTTAGTTGTGACCTTGACATAGAGAGAGGCGTCAACAGAGGACGCCTGACATCGCGCAGATGCCTGTAGACCAGAGGGGTCAGGCTACATTGGCTCCAGCTTCACGCAGTCTCTCCCTCCTGTGAGACCCAAAACCTCCTGCCACGTGGTCTATAACGTATGACCTTCGCGACCGGGTCATGTGTAACAAGCGCAAATGGGTCGTTCCTGTCCATGCGCATCTCCCACAGTTTTTTTTGTTTGGGGCTTGGAACAAAAGCCAGAAATGGTCATTCCGACAGCTGAAACTGTTGTTTGCAAATCGAGTAAGCCCAGAAGCCTGTCTGTTGAAAAGCGTTTTTTTGCTGTTTTTCGTTTTGTTTTGAAAGCAGCCGGCAGTCTTTGTTATGCGAGGTTGTTGGTTTATCGTAAGCCTATTGGAACCACAGTGCAACTGGTGTCTGAAATGTTCCTTTTCAAGAAAACTTGTGTACAAGCTCGTCATCATAAATAGGAGTCACAATTTAACTGGTTTGTAAAGGCACTGCAATAAGGGGTAGGTATTTAATCTATTGACTGATCTTTAAACGTTTTCTTAAACCATCAACCCTAATTTTAACCGACTGCTATAGCGCAAGGCCTTGCCAGCAGGGCAATTTTTGAATGCTTGCTACGAATCAAACATCTAAATAGTGTATTTCCCTTTTTTCACAACATCTGCTGTGATTTTTTTTCGTGATTCCTGGTACTGTGAGATTTTCTATGAATGCCGATGAAAGAAGAGAGGCGAGTACCGGAAGGCATTTCAGGAAAAGAAAGTTAATTGGCCCATCGTTTCGGCGTCTCACTTGCAGGGGTCGAGGGTATCAGATCAACTGTGACCACTCTCAAACAACAAGATCCTTCGCGAATGAATGGAGACGTTTGCGTTCCAGTTATTTGCATGGATAAAGAAGCAGAAGACTTGTCGAGAACCGGATCAATCCGTTTATTGTCCTGAGCTTTCGAACTCTTACAGAGACCCATTTTCAAAGATAAGAAGCAGCAACGACCGGATGACCTCTGACAGTTGATTGGTCTATGACCACTATAATTACCTTC